CCCTCAACTATGCAGGTCCTGCCAGCACGGCACCCTCCTGGGGCTCGGGGGGGTTTGGGGAGAAGGACCCTGGGTCAGGCCGGCGCTGCCAGCTCTGGCACCGGGCCAAGGACCGAGCCAGCAGCACGGTGTCACCCAGCAGTGTAGGAACTTGGCTGGCCAGCGCAGAGGATGGATGGGGGGAATGGGATGCCTCGTTGTGCCTTCTTTAGATAATTGAGGCTCTACGTGCAGGTTTGGTTTTGAGTCATGGGGGCACTTCCCAGCCTGACCTTGCTGGCCTTTGGAGACTCAGACACCCTCCTGGAAAGCTACCTGGCTATCTGCAAAAAGCAGGGTGTGCGGGGCAGTGTGCTGGGGGTGGTGCTCCTGCCCCTCCCCAGGCAGAGCCGTGGTGGTCTCTGGCTGATGCCACCTGCAGCTCCCTCACTCAGTGGGGAGAGAGCTCAGCATGCTCCTCCCTGTTATCTCCAGCAGCAGGACACTATTTCCCAGCAGCATGGTCCCCTCCCCTGAGAGCTGGTGCCCAGGGCTCCATGTGTGCTGGCACCTCTGAGGCTGCAGCAGAGCATCAAGATGGGTCGACCCTGCCCAGTATCACTGCCTGCTCCAGCACGGCCCAGCTGCAGCAGCTCCGTGTGGTCCTGATGGTCCTTTTGCTTCTCTCTCCAGGAATCATCGACCTGTCCCAAGTGCCACATCTGCCTGTCCTGGTTCCCCCCACCCCTGGCACCTCTGCCACCACCATGGACCGCATCACCTACATCCCCGGGCCCCCCCAGACCTTCGGCAGCCGGCACAGCAGCTCCCCGCTCTCCCCAGGTAATGCTGCACATTGCTTCTCCTGGGGATAGCAGGACTCCCATAACGAGTTCAGGGCTGTGAGCTCAGATTGTTGGGGAAGATGGGGGGAGCCCAAATTCATTCTCACTCGGGGATGAGCCCACTGGCTCCCTCAGACCAGCTCCTCTGATCCTACTTGTTGGGGGCTTCCTTGCTTTTCCCCCTTCTTTCCCAGCATGGCAGCTGGTGAGCAGCTTGGTGGAAGGTCATACCCCAGAGCTGGCACTGATGCAGCTGCTGTGTGATTCACCTGGGTTTGGTCACACTGGTTGCCCCCATCTGTCAGGCTCCAGGTGACCTTGGATGGAGCTGTTCCCTCTCTGTTCTGCAGACACCGGGATGTGAAGAGCAGGAGGTGTTCCCTGGGGGGAATCGTCGTGTCCTCAGCCCTTTCACTACCTTTCGGTTGGGTTTCAGGAGGCCCCACACACATGACCAAACAGTCGGGATCGTCTGTGTCGGAGCGGGAACGGGAGCGAGAGCGGGAACGGGAAAGGGAGCGTGAAAAATCCATCCTAGCATCCACCACGGTGGAGCATGCACCCATCTGGAGACCAGGTAGGCTGGGGAGGGGCCTGGCACCACGCCTTAAGGCCCGTGCTGGGTGGAGGTAGGGTTGAGGCTACAAAATGAAGAGCTAAAGCCCTTCTTTGCATTTTCCCCCAGGTACGGAGCAGCCCAGCAGCCGTTCGTCCTCACACTCTCACAGCCACCAGCACTCTCCTGTCTCGCCCCGCACGCACGAGACCATCCAGCAGCGCCCCAGCGTGCTCCACAACACAAGCATGAAGATCATCTCCTCGGAGACCCCCACCCCTTCCGTCCTGCGGTACGTCCCCTGGCCCCAGTTCCAGGGACCCCTGCACCGGCATGACTGTTATCAATGAGCATCACACGGGGCACCTCTGGGATGGAGAAAGGGTTGTTTTGGCCTTTGGTCTCAGCAGGAGCAGGACTGGGGCTTACAAGGAAGTTGTGGTGAGGAGAGACAGATTTTTGTGCCCAATGCCTTCATTTTTCCTGGTGGCTTTTCCTGACACCAGGAAGGAAAGCAGGAGCATCTCTGTGCCCAAATAGAGATATCGCTTCTCTTGCTGAAAGCTGCCTGGTGGCAGCGTTATGTAGGTCTCTGGGACCTGCCCATGGGTTTTATTGTATCCCTTTAGGCCACAGCCAGTACCCCACGGCCAGTAACTGTGATGGAGTCTCCATCCAAGCACCCCTCATCTGCTCCAGCATGGGCCAACCCTATGCTCAGGAACCCTGTGAGGACCTTGGCCAGGCAGGGCTGAACTAGGGCTCTGGTAACAGCACTCCCCTTTGTCCAGGTGCTTCTCTCATCTTCACCTCATCTTCGTTTGCCTTCCAGATCCTCCTCCACCACTACCACGTCACCAATCCGCTCCGCCGCCTTCCCCTCGGCCTCCACCCTGCGCTCCTCCATCAGTGGGGCAGACGGCTACGCGGCCCCGCTGGACCCGGCCGTCCTGCAGAAAGAGGCCTCGAGGGCACGGGAAGCCAAGGCTGAACGAGCCCAGACTGACAACAACGTCTTCACCTCAAAGCTGCCCAGTGGGGCCAACCTCGAACAGTCGCCTTCGCCCATCAAAGCCATGGAGTCAAGAGCTTTACCCGCTTCCGGACCCGGCTCTTCTCATCACTATAGCAGAGGACAGGGGAAAAGCCAGCAGCACCATCACCCGCTGGACCAGCAGCACACAGCCTCGGGCCCCGAGCAGCACAGTAGAGAAAAGAGTCAAAGTAAACCCTTTTCAATGCAGGAACAGGAGCTCCGAGCACTCGGTAAGACCACCACGACAGCGGCCAACTTCATAGATGTGATTATCATGCGCCAAATGTCTCGCGATAAGGGGCAGCGAGAAAGAGGCTCGCTGAGTAACGACTCTGCTAGTGATGGTAAGAAATTGGAGGGGAGAGGTGAGAGAGCTGTGGCCTGAAACCCATTTTATTTCATTATTCCTTATTTTCAGTTGCACGTTTTGGCTATTGGCTTCATCAGCTCCCTGAGTGTGCTTGTCCCTCTGCTTCCCGGTCGTTGTGTTACTCCAGGCTTTTTTATTTGTGTGCGTTTTAAGGATCTTCTCTTCTCCCACCCTCTTTTAGTTTTTCCCGTTGCCAAGTCTTGTTTTGCAAACGTTCAGTTCCTGGTATTGCTTTTTACAGACAATAGCAATTTGCTAATTCTGATTTCCCCATCATTAGAAATTCCCAGGCAGGCTCTAAGGAACAGTTGTGGGTAATAAATCAAACGAGCGAAGCAGAGAACCAGGAGTGTGAGCAGGACAGGGCCAGACACACACCGCCCTGCTCGTGGTTGTAGCACTGAGCGTGCAGGATCTCAGAGGGCTTTGGGGTGCTGCACGATGCAGCTCGGGTGGGGTCCCTTCATTTGGGGTGACCTCACTCAGGGTCCCATTGCTGGGTGCTGCGCAAGAGGTAACGTGGACATGGCTGTCGAGGGACCACTCAGCCCCACCATGCTCAGCAGCTGTTTCTGGAGCAGACCACGGCAACCACCCAGCAGCAATCTTGTGCAGGACACAAAAGTGTCTCCAGAAGAAAGTGCAGGGAGAGGGCTGGATTCAAAGTCTGGATCATTCTTGTCGGGACCAGCCTTCACCCAGAGCATTCACCCAGGCTTCCACCAGCACGGAGAAGCAACAGGCAGCCCGTGGGGATTTGATGGGGCCCTGTCTTCAAGTTGAGGCATCTGCCTTGGCCATCAGCACTGAGGGTTGGTCCCCAGCTGCAGGGTGCCTGCCAGATTTGCCTGCAGCGGGCAGTTTCTAGGAATGGAGCACTAGGAGTGTGAAGGTCTGTGGAGGCAAAAGTCACGAGTGTTGCCAAACGTCCATAGCTGCCAAGAGGCAGCGTGTGCCTCGGCCAGGACTCCCTCCGTCCTTCACCTCTGGCCTGGGGAAGCATAACCTGCCTGTGCCTCAGTTTCACCTCCCTGTTGAAAGGTAATAATGAGTTCCTCATTCCAGCTCAGCGTGCTTTGATGCAGCTGGAGTCCGTGCAAAGGGCTTCAATGGCAGAGAAAGGTCAGGATACCTTTTTGTCCCTGCAGTGTGCGAGTCTGGTGTCTTCCAAGCAGGACCTGGAGTCTGCAGGGCCTTGTACCCTGCTGTTGGCCATGCTGGACTTGGGGGTTTTTCTTTGTAAAGCACTTGGAGACCTCTCTTGTGGATCCACCTCCACTCCTGCAGAGCTTTGCTTTCCCTCCTGGCATAGTGAGGGGTTTATTTTTCTGTTTCAGTAGGTGGGAGAAAGGAGAGGATTATGTTGTGAACCTGAAGGGGTGGTATTTGGTTCCTCATTCTCTTGATGTCACCATGAGCTGCTGAGTGTCCAGCTCAGCAGGACTGAGACATCACCTCTTTACTGCAGCTGTCACCACAACTGGACATCAGAGGTGGCTCCAGGGGTCCCTGCAGTATGACCTGCTAGGTCTACCCTCATCTTTTTTCTCCCTTTGCTGAGTGTGTGACTACCTGTGAGCGATGGTTGCCACAGCCCTAGGGAGAAGCCAAGCGAGCTCCTGGTTTTAACCCCCTTCTCCCATTTCCTCAGGCTTCCATGGAGGCTACAGCCCTGAGCGGATGGAAGCAGTGAGTCCCGTGAGCTCACCCACACTGTCCCATGAGAAAGGGGCCAAGCTGCTGCAGGATGTGGAGAAGGGGCACCTGGAGCATGACCTGAGGCAGAAACAGCAAGGTGAGGGCAGGGGCTGGCGGTGCCGGCGGGCACAGCAGAGTCCAAGCTGGCACGGGGGATGGCGTTGAAGGAAGGGGACACAGAGGTCACCTCACACCTGCTCTCTTCTTCATGGCCCTCCCAGGCTCGCTGAAGGCCTCGGCTCCTGAAGCAGCCCACCTGCAGCACCTCCGGGCGCCCGACTCCCCGCCCCCCGGCCCCAGTGCCAGCCCCTGCAGTCCAGCCAGAGCATCAAGGGCATGAACCAGCGGGTGGTCACCCTGGCCCAGCACATCAGTGTAATTAACCTCCTCCTGGCTTCCCCCTGGGGCTCCGGGGAGGAGGGAGGAGCTGATACGAAATATAGATGTGGTGCTGAGGGATGTGGTTTAGTGGCACTGGGCAGTGCTGGGTTAGTGGTTGGACTTGGATGATCTTAAGCATCTCTTCCAACCAAAGCAATTCTTTGATTCTGCATCTGGTGGGGAAGGGCTGGGAGTGGTGCTGTGGACCTCAGCACCTCTCACTAGGGGCCAGAGGGAGCCAGGTGCATCAGGTGTGTTCAGCACATGTTTGCATCCCCAGCAAGCCCACCACGAGAGCTGCTGCAAGCAGGAGGCAGAAGCTATGTCCCCGCAGGGACAAACCAGCCTAACTCCCTCCTGCCTGGCCCTGTCTTTAGTCGAGCCCAGCAAAGTGAGAGGTAGAAACCAACTCTATTTCTGACTCAGCTGTTTCTTCTAGGAGGTCATCACGCAGGACTACACACGCCATCACCCACAGCAGCTCAACTCCCACATCCAGACCCCCGTGTACTCCTTCCCCGGGGCCGCGTGCCCCGTGCTGGACCTGCGCCGCACCCCCAGCGAGGCCTATCTGCAGCAGCAGGAGCACGTGGCCACCTCCAGGATCTCCCCACAGAACGAAGGTGGCAAAAGGTGAGCTCGGGGACACCAACCAAAGCTGGCGTGGTGGGTTTCTGCCCGCCCACTGTGCCAGTCTTGAGCTCAGACCAACCAGGGCTTCCCAGGGTGAGGAGCTGGTCAGGTGCCTGTGGTTACATGGCACCCCGGTGAGGAGGTGCGTAGGGAAGGCTGGCACTTGGTGTTACTGGGTTTGTGCTCCCCAGCTGGGTGCTTGTGTGGATTGCTTGCTTACACAGCCCACAGTGTCTAACTGCTTTCTGATCAGGGTGATTTTCCTCTGCCGTGGTGCCTCTTGCTGTCCCCGTTGTCCTAGAGATGTTCTCTAGACCCCCTTAGAGTTTGTGCATGATCCTGTTCCCAACCTGACCAATGTCACAGAATAGTTTAGGTGGGAAGGGACCTCTTGAGATCATCCAGCCAATGCCCTGTGCTCAAGCAGGGTCAGCTGAAATGGGTTGTCCAGCATTGTGACAGGTTGGGCTTTGAATTGTCTTTATCTCTTTGAATACCTCTTCAGCACCTCTCTGCCCAACCTGCACTGGCATTTGAGCACCCTCACAGTAAAAAAGTGGTTTCTTGTGTTGAGGTGGAATTTCATGTGCTTTGGTTTGTGCCATTGCCCCTAGTCCTGTCACTGTCCTCAGTCCCTCACAGGTGACCTGGTGCAGTGACCTTTCAGACCACAGGTGGTTCCAAAACACCCAAAGCAGCACGTTTTCCATGGGTTCAAAGTTACTTTTGTCTTCACCTTTCTCAGTGAATCAGAAGCTTGTTAGACAAGCGCCCTGTCAACTGCAGCTGTCCCCCTCAGGCACCACTTTTAAAGTCCCTTGGCAACCCTTGTGCTGACACGGCCGGGTCCCTCGGGGCGGGTG